CTTTCATAGCTCTGATTGCTTCCTCCACCTGCTTGAATTCATTCTCATATTGTGCATAGTTAATGAGGCTATTCTTTGGATTCGAGTGGGATGCCCCAGAGTATGTTATCATTCTTGATGCATTAACCTGATAGCATTATTGCTCTTTAATGGTCATCTCTTCTTCATCGACAGTCTTAGTTTCCATTATTTGTACCATATGACTCGATCCTAATGTATCTTGATGTAACCCGTCAAACTGTTCTTGCCGTTGATCTTGTAATCCCTCATGAGATTGCCCCATGTTTCTATGATGATGACACAATAATATGAATGAACGATCTCAGTTTTACTGTTACAAAACCTTTCATGAATTTTTTACATGTATGTAGCAATACTTAAATAAATAAATGTGATGCAAATGCGAAAATGTAAAAAATAGGAATGCAAATTGTGCAATGAAAATGCATGTATGCAAAAAGGTATCATTCAAGAGTGATCATCTTAAAACAACTTTTATTAAACACAAAAGTTTCAATACATCAAATAAAACTTTACATATAAGGGGTAGCTTTAACTCCTAATTTCTCTATTTCCTTCAACAACCAAACTAACTTTCACTTATGCTTAGGTGTAGAGTTGTCAATCTGCTTTAACTCTTGCGTAAGGCCAGCTAAATCAATCAGTTTACAAGCCACATTGCTTGCTTCAGAAGCAACTTCCTTTACGACATTATCTTTTTCCTTCAACTTACATGTCAATTCCTGGATTTGTAAACAATAATGTTCATTTTTCCTTGTAAGGGAATCTTTGTGATCAATAAGCTTTTGTACATGATCCAAAAACGTCATCAATTTCTTATTTTTGACTTTAATGTCTTCTAATTCAACTTCAATTCCACACTGATGGATACGCTATGAATCCTCCATTTTGATTATGACCTTATTCAAAGTTTGATTTTCGGCTTGGCATCTTTCCAACTTGATGTCGATTGTATCGCACATTTCTTCTGCAACCTGTAAATCATGAGAAAACTTTTTGCCCCGATCTTCGTGTTTCTTGCAATTATTTTTTAATTTAGTGACCCATGCTATCCATTCTTCTATGGTATTTCCTAAACCTGCCTTTTGAAAAGCTTGACTAATCTTTTGGAAATCCTCGCGCATGGTCTCCATTTATGTACTCAATTTATCATTTTCAGTTTCCAAATGAAGTATTTGAGCCTCATACTTCAGCGGATTTTCTTCCTTCTAGATGCCCACGCTATTACTCTTACCTTTGACTACCTTTGGTATCAACCTGTCAGGATAATTAGTGACCAAACTAGATCGATCTTGAGTTTTTGAAGTTGGGAAATAACTTTTAAACGATGATGAGTTCTGAATACATGGATTCTTTTCATATCTAGGAACTTTTACAATTATTTTCTTAGGGTCTCCTGACAAATTGTTGGTATGGATGGTAACTGTGTTTTCTCACATTGGTTAGGATCAGAAGTCCCTTGTATACCTGAGATTGTAGGATTAGGTTCATTGAGCTCTCTCTCCTTTTGTGCAGGAGTTTCTTTTTCATTGGTCAAAATAGATATTTTATCCATCATCTTGGACATTTGCTCATTTATCTCTAGTATCTCCTTTTGTTCTTCAACGGACATACGATCTTTGGGTACATAGCTCTCTTCTATCCTCGGAGTTCCCTCATGAAGTCATTCCTTGGCTGTGTTATAGTTTACTTGATTATGAAACCCTTTGTCCATAATGAAAATCTTTTATTTTGATGACCACTCTCGAATCAACACCTTCGATTATGCCATGATTATGTAATGCAAGAAAAAGAAATTAATATAAACAAATTAAAGCCATAATAAAATGTATATATATAATATATAAAAACAAAAAATCATATATATATATATATACATCATATCCTCATGTTTTCTAGTTCCATGCTTTGTTTTGGAAAAATAACTTAACCTCATTATTTCTAGTTCATATGCGTTTATTCAGAAAATATGATAATATTAAACAAAATAAAAAGACTCAACATGCTTTTCCCTTGTGTACTTAATCTTACAAGACTCAATTGGGTTAGGCCTCACTTAGACTCCAGTTCTAGGTTTTATTATATATTGGGTTTTGGCTCTAGAGTAAAAAGGGTCAACGAATTGTCCTTTGTTGGTGTCCCCTTGGACTGCCAAGCCCTCAATCATGGTCCATTACAGACTTTTGGATTAAGTTCAATTCGAAGGAACACACTTCCTTATGTCTATACGGAGGTGAAAACCACACGAGGAACATAAGGTGTGAGCTCAAAGAATGGTCCCCTATCCCATACGGAGGTGAAAACCACACGAGGGAGTGGTTTCTCATTCGCTTAAACAGGATAAGAGCAGGGTTTTAGCTCATGTCATGAATGCAATGATCAGTGTGAGGGAAAACATAAAGAGAAGTAAAATAATATATACAACATATTATTCTATTCTAATGACCCAAAATTAAATCTATACATATAAAAACAAAAGTTAGTAAAATAATTAAAATAATTAAAACAAAATTAAAACAAATTTATTATTTTATTAAAAGACTAATAATTAATAAATTGGTGGCTGGACTCTCTTTTTAAAAATTCCCCAGCGGAGTCGCCAAGCTGTAGAGACGTTTCTCTGCCCGGCGACGGAGAGTGCAAATAGTACACCCCAAACGGTGTAATTAGTCTCGAAAAAGTATGTGTTTATCCTCCTTGAATCAGATGAAACACTAAATTGTAGAGTCGCCACTAATCTTTTTATTTGGTGAGATTGATCACCAAAATGTCATATTATTTTAATAAAAATTCCTAAGAATAATATTAAAATAATACAACTCGGGTTTGCTTACCAGAAAAATGAGTTCGAGAGTCGGTTACGTATGGGGAAGGATTAACGCCCCCCATAACGCCCAAAATTGGTACCGATATTTATTAATTAATGTCTTTGATGTAAATAATAAATTTATATTTAAATTAATTCACAAATAATAATATAGATAATTACTAAATAATATTTAATATAAATATTACCAATTCTATTATAATATTTAATATTAAAATTATATAGATTATAAAGTTATCATAATATATATAATTATACTAATATTATAATTAGTCTTAAAATAATAATTAATGATGAAAACATAGAATATTAAAATTAATTAACATAATTCGAAATACTATTAAAATAGTGTAATAATAATGTAATTTTCCCTAAATTATTATATAGATCATAGTATAAAATATTAAAAATATTAAGGATTAAGTGTGATATTTTATTCTAGAATATACACATATAGGCGTGACTAAAATATATATAATTAAAATTTAAAAACCAAATTAAAATGCGAAGGAACCTATTCTCGTGATCAAATTGTGAAGAATACAAAGCATAGGGGCTACAGGTGCGATTTACCCCTATGTGAATTTACCCAAAGGTCCCACCCCAAAATGACATAGTTTTGGGAAGGGTTTAAAGACCCATTTAGCTGGCCATTTTGGCCATATCTCCCTATTTTCTTTCTTTTCTTCTCTCTCTAAATGAGAGAATTCTCTCAATTCTATCTAAAGCCCTCACAGGAGGGATGGTCGGTCACCGACCGGCCGTCGATAACCATCATAGATAGCCACAGTCGGCCACTGTAAACGGTGGTCAGATTTTACAAAACCCCACAAAAATGAAGCTCTCAACCTTACAATCACTAATCCAACCCCTTTTTTCATAAAGGCCTCCCAATCGGCCTAAATTTGATATTTTACCTTCGAAATCCGAAGGTTTCCGACGACATTCGAGCTTCTTCCACGAGCAAGGTAAGTCATTTCTTCTTCCTCTTTGCTATTCGAATCCTTAGTTGCTATTGTGGATCGTTGTGTATGCTTGTTCTCTTCGTTTTGTCGCACCTCGTATTTCGTTGCTTCCTCTTTGTCTCTCTCTGTGTCTCTTGCTCTGTTGTGTTTGTTGTTTGTAGGTGATTGTCGCCTTTTATAGGCTTCAGAACTCGGCTGCAATGATAACTTTTCGGTGAGTTATCGAACCTACGGTGGTGACTCACCCTAGAGATGATGCGTTGTACGACCCTTGTTACTTTTCTGGAGTGTTCTACTATATTCCGGTGAGATTTGATGGTGACAGTGGCGGTGATGAGGTTCACTGGAGGCGGCAGCTGCTAGGGTAAAACCCTAACTGATGGAAGATTTGGGCCATCCAGGCGCAGGAGAAACATGAAAACCCTAGGGTTGAGTTCGGGCCTGTTGGGCTTCTTGGACCTGGATCGGGTCTGTTGGGCCTCCGGGTTGGTATTTTTCTCGGGTCAATTGGGTAGGATCCGAGCCTTTACTTGTAAATAGGCCTCCAAACTTGTAATTGGGCCCCGATTTATTGATTTGGGCTTGTAATATTATTTAATAATAATAATAATAATAATAATAATATATTATATATAATAATAACGTATATAATAAAATATATATAGTTAATAATATATATAATATTATAAACTGGCAAAAACTAGTGTCGACAAACATGTAATGTTGTGGTTGCATTACATATACTGCAGGGTAATGCTGATCAGCTGGATGGTGAAGCTGCTTTTGTAATGGTGGAGCATACAACGGATAGTACGGTGACATCAGCATCGGATTTGCAGCCGCAGTTTGGTGAGGGATGTAATGTATATTGTCTTGAACGAACTATTGTTGAGGTTGTTGGTGCTGTTGTTGATCCAATTGTGAAGCCAAAGAGTAGGAATCTTGGATCTGTTGAATTTGGATTTGGGAGCTTGGAATAGAAGTATCTGCATTGGTATTGTGACTAGCACCAGTTCTGCTATCTCTGGATATAACATGTGTTTGATCTTGATAGTACATGGCCTTTGAGAAAGAATTTGTAGAGGCAATGCTACTTTCACTGCATGTTCGGTTGGAACAATGGAAACAAAAAGTAGATACCATTTTCATTTCAAAAATTTGAATCATGACAATTGATAATAGCCCTGTTATGCCCCTTCCGAACCTTCTCTATAAAACTGATCTCTGTTCAGTATACCAAGATCTCCAGAGAACCTTCTCTGTAGTTAAAAGTCCCATTAGAGCATTTTTGAATATAGGGCCTCTGGAATAGCATCTCCAGAGTCTTATACTTCTCGAAAAGCAAAAACCCTTGGACATGACTTTTGATAGATCCCACGTGATCTGTATGAGTCAATTGACAGTTGATCATATAAATCGGATCAATCTTATCAATTTTGTTTACAAATAGTCGTCATGACCCTAAGTCTAATATCAACATTAAGAGTCATTATTATAAAATCTCTCTATTAAGATCGAGAGAGAATCAACACCTAAATATAAATATAATTCTAATGGTCTAACCTTTTCTCCTTTTTCGCGGGACAAAATCTCATCACTGATCAATAGCCGGTCTACCATCCATTATGATTTTTCACCTAAATTAGGAGTGAACCTATTATAACCATCATGACACATTTATTCTTCTCATAACAAGCCTTATAACTTACTATAAAGTCAATGCCAATTAATCATAAAAAATGGAGCAAAGTTGGAGAAAAGAGAAAATCATAAAACTTGGAAAATACCTTGCAACTGAATCAGGGGAAGGCAAATTATAAGTGCCGCCAGCTTTCTGTTGTACCGGCTGCAACGGCAATGGAGGCTTGCGGTAACCGATAGGCACTCCTTGATCATATCTCTCATCATCAGACAAAACACGGTTCAAGTTGTCACTAGACCCCCTGCGCGAGTGGCCGTAGTAGTCGCAGCAGACACCGGATGCGGCGGAGGCAGAGAAGACACCGCCGCTGGTGCTGCCCCATAGTAATCATCTTGCTTATGGATATTCATATTAGTAGCAAAACTTATCTGAGCAAACTGTTCTTCTATGCCAAGCCTCTGGTCCTGCTGCACTTTATGCCCTCCTCCATCCTGATCCACTCGAACCTGAATCGATGGCAAGTTGGGCATAGAAGGTGAAGAAGAAGATGAACCAAAAGACGAAGTTTTCTCCGCCAACGGTGCATCATGCAACGAACACTGCACTTCCTGAACTCCATTATTGTTTTTGACCTGTTTATTGTGTTGTTCATCTCCTCCTTCAACCTCGAATTCACCATCGAGATTCAACAGAGTCTGCATGGTCGCAGCATCCGAGTTCCCTCTAGAAACCAACCCTGAACCATTAAGAGAATCGACGAACCAAGTTTCCGACTTGGCATCATTCAGAAGTGGACCCATGGAGACGGTAGTGTCAGGCTTATTAAAGAAAATAAACAAACGGATTCTACACGAGGTCACCGAAGAACCCGATGCTGCTGCAAAACGATCATATTCCTCGATCATGTTCTCGAGATCCTCATCCGTGGCAACCGATACGAGCGAGTCGAGGTCTTCATTCGGAAGCTGGTACTTCAATATAAAGGACCGGCCATTGAGAAGTGCACGGGAGATGCGGGTGCAAAGGGCTGAGAGGGAACAATGGCGATCAACAGCAACGATGCGAGTGTCACCACCGACGTAGCAAAGAGATTTATCATGGGGACGGGGCATTATATGGCCGCCGAAGCTGAACATTAGGCGGAGCCGGGCACCAGAAACAGCCGGGAGAGGATCATCGTAAGTGTTGTCGTTATGGGAACGTGGAGACGAGTCAATGGAGTCAAGGTAGTTGGATGATGTGCAGCAAAAGTGGGGAGGGGTGGAGGATCCATTGGAGGAGGTGTCTCTTGTTTTGGGGTGGAGGCTTGTGATTGGGAGGGGAATGTAGTACACTGAAAAGGGTTAACTAAAACCAGTGGTTTTATAGTTCATTGCTTCATCATTTTAGTTGTTTCAATGTTTTATTTATGAATTTTAAATTATTTAATTAAATAATTTTTCTATTCAATCGGATGATGATATATTGAAATAAAAATAAAAGGATAATTTTGTGCTCAAAGGAATCAAGCCAGGGTCTGGGGAGGAAGGATAGAGCAGGCGCCCAAACCATTGGTTGATCATTTTTCACCCATTTATAAACCTTAAATCTCTTATGACATCATCAAATTAGCCATAATCGATCATTTTTCTCTCGTCGGACTCTCACTGATTGATCACCTCCTTATTTTCACATGTTGCCTGAAATTGCATCTCATCATAGGTCGTCCTTAAATCACGTCGCACAATTATTTTCACCCATATATCTCTTATTTGTTGTCGTCAATTAAATTACACCGTTATTTGAACTAAAATAAAATCGTTCAAATCTCTTACCGTGGCTCATCGTCTGATCTTTTGTCGTTTAAGAAGATTTGGGAATTATAAATTTAGGAGATTTGAAAGAATAAAAAAGTTAGGTTCTTTTAGAAATGTAGACTTTTTATACTTTTTAATTCTAAGAAATTAACATCAATAAGAAATTAATGTCACATCAATAATTATTGATTGAGAATATTTTCTAATAATAATTAATAGGATGACTTTAAAATAATAATAAAATAAAACTTTATGATAACAAAATAAATGTTAGATATTTTTTTAATAATCTTACTTGAATATAAAATAAAATATATTCAAAAAAAATTTAATTTATTAATAATGTATACACAAATTGTAAATATAAATGTTTTAATTAAAATCTCTAAAGAAAATAATCTTTCTTTTTTACTACTGATACTACTAAATGAATTTATTCAACCTTATTTTAACAAAAAAAAAATCTCTAAACACTGGAAATAAACGAAACCTGTAATTTAAACTCTTATTTTTTAATTAAAACTTTTAATTTTGCAATACACATACAATGCAAATCACAACTTCCCAAGTGGCGTAGCAAGTGGCATATGGGGGGGCATTGTAGTTAGTCATGGCAGCTTGATTTTGATGGGAAACGGACTCCTTTCACATGTGAATTTGTTGATTTTTGTGCGTTATCGTAACTGCTAATTTATTATTTATTAATATTTTCAATTCAGAGACAAAAACTTCACAAATCAGCAGCCAAGATTGGTAGTTAAATTACTTTCACTTTGCGTATACTTAGGTTTGCACTTTGCTTTCCAACAAATACGAGGAGGCTGTAATAAGTATACGAAACTCAAGAGCCAGAGGGAAGCTATGGGGTATTTCCATTTGATCATCTTAGGTGTGCTTCCATGCATCATTTCTGAACTCAAAACATTACTTGTAGGGTGAATGAATCTTTTATCTAATCTATGTTTTCTTCATAGCACCACCACCACCGATATTTGATTTATTAGTATATTGATTCGGACTAAATTATGCATAAATTTAATACGAGTGTAATATTTTTAATCCATTTTTATTTATAATATTAAGATTCGAATACTTAACATTCATTTAAAAAAACTTAATGTCTTAAAAACCCTAGTGACGCTCCCAATTACGGATGTATGTGTATTCTAGGGTGGGTATATGCTTATCCTGAAATTCAAATTTCTTTATATTAGTTGTTCACTTTACCAGTAGTGCTCACTCAAAAATTTTATTTATGTTTGCTCCATATAAAAAAAATCTATCATTAATACATATGTACTCACCTTGAAAAAATATTTATGGATATGCCACTAATTACCCCTTCCTTTCTCTAAAAGGTCGCTTGTTTGTTTCTTTTTAGTTTTTGATTAACAAGCGACGACACCAACCTTGGTGTCGATTGTCCTGTCGATATATTTTTTCTTTAATTTTATCTCATTTTTTATTTATAATAATTTTACCTTTATCACACGATTTTCTCTACATTCATTGCACGTTTTCTCTACCTTTTTGGTGTACTTTTCACTTTTATTTTTCGGTTGTTTTTGTCGTTTAGTTTTCTTATGAATTAATTTGACGTCATCACGACTGATTTGGATATCCCGCTGATCTTACCTATTTTGGACTCTCGAATTAGATTTAGATATGTAGCTTGCGTCCATAGATGATTTTCTCACTTACTTTGATTTGCGTTTGTTGATAGTCTTCTAATAGTTTAATCATCTGTTGTGGTTTGTTTGTCATTGTAGTCAGATATGTTCCTCTCTACTTAGTGTTCAAGATTTTGTGAATGAGTTTTTACCTTTTCATTATATGATTCATATATGATCTTAAGTAGCTAGTTACTTGTCTTAATGATTATAGAATACTATTCAATTATGTATTTAGTTTATGATTCTAATTGCAAATTTTTATTGTAATTTTAAATATTTTATTCTTAATAAAATTAATTATTTCTTTCCGTAAAAAAACTAACTTCTTATTCGATTAAATTAATCAATAATTGATTATTTAATCTATGTTATTAAACTTTTATTTTCTTTTCGAGAATGGTCAATGAGTGAGATCTCATACGTACACTTGATTATGTTGAGAATGTGGACATACTAGGAATGAGAAAAACAAAGAACGTATAGAAATACGTGTGTGTGTGTGTTTTTTTATGGAGTTTAATAAGTTACAATCAAATCAATGTACGCATTTATAAATCATTGAAAAACCGGTTAAATTATTAAACTAAAATTAAAATACATTAAAATATTTTTTATATAAAATAGAATTTGTCACAATTATATAATTAGTGAAAAAATTATTGACTTAATAAAAAAAATGTCCAAATTATACAATTTTTCTATTAGGTGTCTATTTTTTTTGGTCAATCTATGTGCCTACGTTACAAGCGTTATCATTTTAAGTGTCTCGACTATAGCAACCATTTAAAAATCCACACATGTTGCATTTATATAATTTTAAAGATATCTTGTAAAACTTTGAAAATATTGGACTAAATGAAGTATGATAATTTGTAATTAGAAAGAAATGTCTAAATTTGGAATTTAAACTAAATTGTAAAGTTTCAAAGTATGAAGGATATAATGATAATTTGTCAAAATAAATAAAGTATGAACCATTGAAGAATTTTGGTTCTCATGCAATTCCAATTATAATTTTTCATTTGTTATGGACCCAATTATAAAAGAAAAATTAATTAATGGATATTTTCTTTTATGAAAAGAGTGAAAATAGAAATTTTATTAATTTATTCGTCTCATAAGTATGCAAAATGAGAATTTTATTAATTTATTCGACCTAATTGTAGAGGCGACTGAACGGTGACATTAAACAATTTTTTCAACATATGACTTCTTACACCAACAAGATTTGTTGCTCCCATAACAAAAAATTAAATTCATCAAGAATAATATTATTATTTTTTATTGGTGAACACTTTGTGAGACACCACTGTAGAATCGTCAACAGGCACGACGATGTCATTGGAGAAAATCATAAGAGACATTTGAAAGCAACAAACTATGTAGCCACGAAAGCTAGAGGACTTTCAAGATCCACAACTATTGATACCATGTGGAACATATCCTGTAGTTAGGGTTAAAACAATATGAAAAGAAGATATATTAGATATTGAATAATAATCTATCACACTTTATTGATTGAAACATAGCTATTTAAAATTTAGCTTTACATGTTAATTAGATTAACAAACTGATCGACTTAAACAATCGAATAATAATCAAACATTGACGTAAGATTCCAGCTCAGTGATTAACCAACTCATTCTTCATTAAAGAGTTAGTCGGAGTTTTTTTTTTACATATTGAAAGATTTTAATTAGTTGAAGTATGAATGAATAAAATATTTTTTCACAAAATTTAATGATAATAAATATGATTGTACTAATTCAAACATTAAGAGATCATTCTTTAAATTAAATTTGAATCTGTAAATTATATTTTACAAAGATAACGAATTAATCAATTAGGTATCGATTTTAAACTTTAGGGAATGTTAATCTTTTTCCACACGTAATTAACCATTAAATCTATTTTCTAATTTTATAAACTAAAAATTGGTGTTTTAATACCTTTTACTTAAAATAAATTTTATTAAAATAATAAAACTTTTGTAGTTTTCGAATTTGATCCTAACTAAAAATTTATGATGTGAATCATATATAATTTTTCTAATTTTTTTATAAAAATTTATAAGGTTAAGTATACGAATAAAAAAACATTTCTACATCCATCTATATATGAATGTACAAATGAGGAAGGAGTGTCGTCTATTTATAGAAAATGTCCTCCAGGATCAAATGGTTTAAAATATATACAAGTGTACGAATAGGGTTGGTCCTCTACCATCCAACGGTTACGAATATACACAACTGTACGAGTAGGGTTCATTTATACAGAAATGTCTAATATCTAGAAGTTATCTTACTTGGTGCAACCTCATTTAAGCGAGTAGAGCTTGATTCACTCGAATGGAAGCTTTCTAGAATCCTCTAGACCCCTGTCTAGGCCTGGTAAAGACGCACTATGCCAGGTAAAGAAATACTATGCCAGCAAGGTGGGCAAATACACCCTTTTTAAGCCTTTCCAAACCGTGTGAATACTAAATTTTATTGATGAGGTTGGTTCCGGCCAAAAGATGGACGTAAAAAGTTATATTAAGAGATATAAATTTAAATTATTATATTAAAAGATTTAAGAGTATGAAATTATAAAATTTCAAAAATTGTGAAATTAAATCGTCAATGAAAAATATAGAGATAATATTTAAATTATATGTGAATTTAAAGTTTTAAGAGTATAATTGCACCCCATTACGCTCCTCTATTCATCCCTAGTTCCTCTTCAATCCTTTGGAAACCCCTAGTTAAGAACTTGAAAATCCCCACACTCCATAACTCCTAAAAAATGTCTAGCTTCGTTAACCCACATCCTTGGCTTACTACACAAGGAATGGCTGACTTGGGCCCCAGATGCGCTACATCCTCACCATGTGTTGCCTTTGTTAGGCCTTGTAGCATGTGAATGACCTCGATGAGTCTTGACTCGATCCTTTATGCATCCCAAGGTGATGGAAGATGTTGTGGTCCATGTCACAATGAAGAAGAGACAAACTCATCTAATCGAATCCTATTCTGATATCTAAAAGAACAGAAAAAATCTTTGGGCTCGAATTTGTTATTTCATTGAAAAGTGAGTGTTCATCGTGCATCATACGTAGGTCCATAGTTTGTATTCATTTAAATAATGTGAATTAATGCCGGAAGAAACAGGAGATGGCCAGATTTTTCTGAGCTACCATTTATTGTCCAATGTTTCTCCGGCGAAATACATATACTAATAATACCATGGCACGACCTGTGGTAACTTCAAACACATAATAAAATTGGTGAAATATGGTATATATTGTATAGAACAAGTAAAGCGTACAAACTGTTTCTCAAGAGCAGAAAGTGATGATGGATCAATTTTCCTTCAA